ACTACTAATATAATAAGATATACTATATTTATATTAATATTAATATTAATATTATAGCGCTAGAGTAAGCACTTATAAGAGAGGCGTTAGAAGTTATAAAGAATAAAAATAAATAATTTAAAAAGAGTTTTTATATTCTTTATCGCAGCGCTAATATTAGCGAGTAATACTTAATAATATAAGTATTAGCGACGTAATAATATTTCGCTACTATCTATAGAATCGCGTTATCTAACTATTATTATTATTCTATTATTATTATTAATTAATAATTAAAATTATTATCGCGAACGCGTCGCTCTATTAATTACTCTCTTTAAATATTTATAATAAAAATTATTACTATATTACTTCGCTATTAATATAATACGCTATAAAAACAATATCGTTTATAAAGAAACTCTTTTATCTTCTTTTATCTATTAGAATTTTAAGATTTTATTATAAATTTCTAAATTAAATATCTATTCGCTATAAAAGCTATTAACTAGCGCTATAAAAATACTAATATTAAGCGCGTTAACTTACTATAAATTATTATTAATTAATATTATAAAGCGATATTATTCTTAAAGATAGTATTAATATTATTATATAATATATTAATAGCGTATCTATAGCGCGTAATAATTAATTCTATTATATTATTAAAATAATATTATAATAGATTAACTTTTTTCTCTTATTTTTCTATTAAAATTTAAAGATTTTTTAATAAATATTTTATTTATTTAGACGTCTAAGAATTAAAATCTAGAAAGAGAAATAATTATTAGATTTAATACTATTATAAGCCTTAGCGCTATTTATATTAAGACTTTAATATTATATATATTATATTAAGATTTATTTTAAAGTCTAATTTTAATAATATATTTTATATATCTAGAGACTTAATAAATATAGATTTAGTTTATATATTTTAAAGTTTTAATATTTCTTAGAGATTAGTTCTATTATTAAATATACTATTAAATCTTATAACGACTCTATATCTTTTATAATCTATATTCGCTAGCTAATCGTTAGTAAACTACGCTCTTATATTTCTTTAAATATATAAATTACTTTAAATAGTATACTATATATAAAAATCGAATATAGTTAAAAGATTAAGTAGAGAAAAACGATTTTACTCTAGCCTATATAGCTAGAGAGACGTCTTTTCGAGATAGAAATTATATATATATATATATATTATTACTTTTATTAAATTCTCTTATATTAGAAAGCTATTATTTTTTAAATTATATCTTAAATAATAATAAATTATCGAATTATATTTTATATTTACGTAAAATTTAATATAGAGATATAATTTAATAATTAGAGATATAATTCGATAAGAATTTATATATTTAGAGTATAAATTAGTAATTCGCTCGAAGAAAAGAGAGACTATATAGTTAAATTCGTAAAGAGATATTATATAACTATACTCGAGGCTTTAAGATTCGTAATCTTTAATTTCAAGGGGTATATTATAAACTCATATTCTAAAACCTTAAATTTCTTATAATCTCATATCTTAAACTCTTATTTATACTCTAATAAGATGTAAATTTATAATTTACTATTCGTTTTTTATTATTTACTTTTACTTCTTTATCGTTCTATTTATCTAATATATAATATTAAGATTTTAATAAAAAACGATTTAAATTAATAATTAATGCTATTTATTTAACTACGCTGCGCAACGGGGCGGGATGAGGCGGGGGTTTAACGGGGTAACGGGGGCACTCCGTTGCCCCCGCCAAGCGTATCAATTAGGTTAACTCGGGGCTGTTGCCCCTGTAAGTGCAAATGGGGTTAACGTGCAAATGGGGGTGGAAACAAGTGTTAGGCTGGAAGCAGTCGCTGGAACTATCGGACGAACATGAAAAATGGTCAAATTGTTTTACTTTCAGCCAGTAGCTCTATTCCCAGGAGTGGTCCGCCGGGTCTAGTCGCCCCATCGCATTGATAATAAAGGTCTTATCAGGGACAGGTCTTGGAATGTGAATTGGCTTCTCGACTTTGGGGCAGATGGGGACCGCACAGGTCTCCACGACAGTCTTTGGTGATCTCCGTGACATCCTTCCGGCAGATTTCAGCAATTCGATGTCTGTGACTTTTCGGCTGCGATATCCGGTGATTGTAATTAAGCCCGACATTATCGGCCTTCGTACCTGGAGCCAGAAGTGCATCAGCTCGCGACTTGAAGGGGTCGGACGCATGAAGTTCATATGTTCGAGGAAAGTATTGGTGACCAACTCCGGCTTGTCTTGCTGGATCTTTGAGATGAAGTGGGAAGCGCGGACGTCGACATGATCATGCTCGATGTGTCTGTGGCTTTCCACACCATGTATGTAAGGTCGTGTATTGTGATACAGCCGTGCTCTGGGAGCCCCTCATTTCCGCATCAAGGCCTTGGCCATGCAGCCGTGCATACTATGTACGTACTAGTACCTCATCTCCTGGTGGGGTGTAAGACACAGGGGTATCGACCGAACTTCAAAGAGTCTCTGGTTGCAACCCACCGCAGCTCCATATTGAGGACACTCACAACCAAGCATTCCGTCTCGCAATTGTGATTCCTAGACAGATCTAAAATCTTACAGCTCAAAGATTCATTGTAAGTTTTGTCATTGAAAACTTATAGTGCTGCGAAGTTGTGGGATTTTGAATTTCGAGAAGTTCAGTACCGAGTCATTTTCGAGACTTTTGATTGGCCAAGCCTTCGGCCAATAGCATGTGTGATCATATGTTGGGCATGATCGATCTCTGCCAAGGCCATGGGCCTTAGAGTAGGATTAGTGGCTTGGCACCGCCCACATCTCAACCTCTAGCTACACTTCTTCTTCAGGTTTGAATATTCTACCTAGTCTACCGTATGCTACACCTTTGACTCAACTCCAGGCTTGCTCTTGAAGGGTGTGTTTTATAAATTTCGTAGGACATGGGCTACTGCAAGAAAATCACTGTTACACTACAGCTATTGCTGAAATCGATAGTTTACAGCATGCCAACAATAACGTTCAGAGCACACTTCCTAACTTCGCTACATGAGCGAAATTTGTGGATTTTAGGCGGCTGCAAACATAGGGAATGGTTCATTGATTGAAGAGGAGTGACCGCTCATGGGAGTACATGTCAAAGAACGGCTACAGAGGGGTTTGAATACGCTAAATGTACTACAAGCAGCCCACAACCTCCATAAACTAATAACCAGCCGCTATATTGAATTTCACCAATGGTTTTGAGAGTATATGACACGATGTTCAGGCTCGATGCGCAAGCAATACGGCTTCCAAAGCTCGAGCAAGCTCTGTTGCACTTCCTCATAGTATCATAAACAGCAGTCGCGCTTTGCCTTTGTTGTGGATGTAGAGATCAAGGGCACTATCTCCATCGTTCCACCATCCAGGCAAACCGCTTTTTCGATGCCTCTTTGACTTCGCGCACACCCAACGTCCGGACCCTTGTTCTAAACCTCGTGGAAGCTGCATCTCGTCTTTCGACCGATTGGTTGCCTCAGAAACCCGGCCAATATTGAATGTCTTGTCGACCTGGACCCGCATTGTTCCCAGTCGTCTTGTTTCCAGCAATGATTTGCGGAGTCTTCGCTGTCTGACAAGAACGATTTCTTCTTTGAAAGTTGGGCTGCGATCCGTCGAGCCTACATCTGTATGTATCAACCATACACATCACGCAATGTCTTTTTGATCCCCGTCTACGCCATTTCATAATAGGGGCGGAGAATCTGATGCCAACAATGTGCGGGATTGTTTCTTGAAACACAAAATCTCCGAGCCGCTGCGAAACCAAGCCAATACAACATAGGAACATGACTTGGATCCCGCGTGGCGCTCGAATCTGATCTGACCTCTTTCATCATTGTTCCCCGATATCCATCTCGCAAACGTCGTAATGTCAAAGCCTTGTACCCTCCGACGATCTGGACATGTTTCAATGGTCCAGGCGCTTAGAGAAACACCAAATCTTTGGGGCGGCAAATTGAAACATTTTGAAACACCAACGCGAAATCGCATACTCCACATCCTACTTTCGCAATCTGCTTACTCGGCCGCCAAGAAAGGTCCGATTGTCTCGAACAACTTCCTTGCTAGATGGAACAATGTTCTGTGTGATGAAGGGTTTTGACCTTGCCGTTGAGCTGGGAGGAGAAATTTCCTTTTAAACGGACAACTCAACGGCTGCATTGTCACCCACGGACTCTATAACAGACAAAAGGGCAGAGCTAAACATTAACAAGCTTTAGTGGAATGCGTCGTTCGAGCCGCCATGACTTCAGAAATACGCAACGTTTCGGACATATCGCAGCTGCCAAAGGCGGGCAAATTAAGGACGTGCCGCACATACCACATACAAAAGACTCGTTATAATAATCCTTCCGAGATCCAATCTGCCGCATGCGGGGTAGATCGCAAGATTATCGTCGCGGGAAATTGATATGATATGTATACAGAGGGGCTCTCGCACTTCTCGCTTGACCTTGCACGCTCGTTACTGCGGACTTGAGACTCCTTGACGGACAAATTACTCATTAATTTCTGATCGACCCTCTGGCTAGGGTCCTACATTCATTTATAAACGTTTATACAGATCTGATCCTTCGTCCAACCAACTCCACAAAATGCGCTTCTTCCCTTCCTCATCGCGCTCCTTCCTCCCAACACTCCTCCTTCTCTTTACCACCCACCTCACCTCCATAACCGCCCAATCGAATCCCAACCCCATCCTCACCTCCTCCTTCACTTGGAATCCCACCTGCGGCCCCACCGTTGCCTGTGGCCCATCCAGCGCCGGCTACTAGTACGTATTTGCGGAGTTCCTATTTGCCCTTTCGGACCTGGCCTTGAATTTTGAGAAACCCTTTGAGAGAGTCTACTATGTAGAAAAACTTCGAAGCCTCAACCTAACTCCCTCAAATCAGCATGACTGACACGAAACTTATAATCCAGCGGCACCGGTTTCGCCGCCTCCAACAACCTCACCTACGCCGGCTGCGACAATCTTGGCGACGACACCGTCGACTGCGGCGCCGCCAGTATAGTCTCAGGCGTTGGCAAAGGCTGCGGCCAATGCTGGCACATCACGCCCCAAAGCGACTGGTACCCTTCCAACGGGCTCTCCGTGGGAACAAGCGTGGTGGTGAAGATCAACGACCAGTGCACGGATGCCGGGTATTGTGACCAGACGGAGGCGCATCCGGTCAATACGGGCTACGGGAAGGAGGTGCACATAGATTTGTGTGCGGAGAGCGGGGTCACGGAGCTGTTTTTTGGGGCGGTGGGGCCTGGGGTGGTGGTTGGGTTGGCGCAGTTGTTGCCGGATTGCTCGGCGTTGGATGATAGGTCGTATGGGTCGGCGTTGGGGAATTTGGATGGCTCGTCGAGTGCAGCATCGAGCTCGTCGGCAAGCTCTGGGAGCGCGTCGTCGAGCTCGGGTGGCGCTTCATCGTCGTCTTCTGGTGGTGGATCCTCGTCAAGCGCTGCAAGTAATTCGTCGGCAAGTTCTGGAAGTGGTTCGTCGTCAAGTTCTGGAAGCGATTCCTCTTCTTCATCCGGTGATGGATCGTCATCAAGCTCAGGAAGCGAGTCGTCGTCATCCTCTGGCAGTGGAACATCATCAAGCTCTGGAAGCGATTCATCGTCCAGCTCAGGAAGTGATTCCTCCTCGAGCTCTGAAAGCGATTCCTCCTCGAATTCTGGAAGCGATTCCTCTCCGAACTCCGGAAGCTCCTCATCCTCCAGCTCCGCCAGCGACTCATCCTCCCCAAACCCCGACACCGAACCACCAACCCTCGACGCCGTAACGAGCGGCAGCGGCAACTGGAGCTGGAGCGGCCCCAAAATGGCCAAACACAGGCTATCAAGAGGACACGACGGACCGAAAGGAGGGGCTAACGTCGCAAGTGGGGCTCAAAACGGAGGATCCGACGATCGCGGCGGATCTCCGTCTCCACCTCCGACGCCGACGACGCTGGTTCCTGTGGTCAGTAGCAGTACCGCGCCGGCGCCTGGTACTTCGTCTTTGACGGGCGAGGACAGTTCTGGGGAGCAGGATGGAGATGGGGAGGATGGTGAGTGTGGTGGGGAAGACGCAGGAGAATTGTGATGGAAGGGAGCGTGATGATGTTGATGTTTTATGGAGTAGTGGGAGGTGCGTCTCTTGAGCCGGTCCAAAGTGTGGCAGAAAAATTGCCTGAGGTAGTAGCGATTGTCAAATTAGCTAAGATTGCTCTAAAAGTTTTTAGGGAGGAGTACTATACTTCGCGAAAGAAGATTATACCCGCTCCTATAACGAGGTGTTTAGCTTTCTTAGATTTGTACCGCTACATCTACATTGTTTTCTCCCCGCACGCCCTGCAATGATACCACAGCCAAAGCAGCGAATGCAACAAAAAGGATCCAAAGGCACGATAAACAAACTGTCCGCCAAATACCGAACCACGAGAACGCGCTACACCCCGTGGCCCTTTATACCATGAGGGATCATCACCGCCAACAATTCAAAATTTCGTAGCGCTAGAACACATACAATTCATTATTCAGTCCAACGCTCCTCAGTAAGTCTTAAGTTCCTTCAGCGTCCACTCCCACAACCCCCCCGGCAGCTGCTTGTTTGCCCTCGGCTTGCTTGTTGGTATTGACAAGACGCCCACAGGCTCGTACAATTCGCCGTTAATGATGGCCTCTTTATCGCCTGCAGCGGCCCAGAGCAGGTTGTAGCAGCCTCCTTTCGGAGGGATCATCTTGACGCTATCGGGGCGACAGTTAGCATAGTTTGATGGTTTATGCAAGTATTTGAGGCAATAACGAGTGGCAGAATGGGCGTCTTGCGCTAGATTGACTGCTGGGGGAAACAAGCAGCTTGACCTATTTCCACCGAGGTGTCTCGCACCCCAGGGTTCAGCGCAGAGGTAGACTCAGAATGTACAGACCCCTGAAACAAACACCCAACATGAACGACCAACTTCTCCGCTTTCCTCTGTGCCTGATAGGAGTGCCACCATGTTGATACCCACTACCGCTGGCTGCAAGGGACTGCCCTGATCTGAGAGTACCCAGTCATTGATGAGGGCTCGCGATCGACCTTTCTCGATGGCTTCAGCGGTGTTGGAGGATTATGCTGCACTTGTGATCCGGTCCTTCAAAACAGTGCGAAAACTGTCAACTATCTTTCAGTGAGACTTGTTTAAATGGACGATATGATGTATCGGTATCCACATCACAGTCCCGCTCGGGGAGCAGTATCTTAAGAAAACTTACAGTCATGGAAGATGGAGCGGGAGTAGTATGCACTGGCGCCTGGAGGGGAAATCAGCCATTTATAATGAAAAAGTTTCTGGACTTCATCGAGCTCATCGAACCTTTGATCGGCTGGGGAGTGAAAGAATCATGACTCACGGACTCCACGCCCGGCGCGGATTGTTCAATATCGTCAATCGGATCCGAAATCTCTGACGTCGATCATGAGCATCTCAATGATCCTCTTGATCTTCTCGTCTCGAGTGAAGGCTGCCGCTTGGTAAACGAGATTCCCTTGAAGGCGTGGGAACAAGAGACGTCATTGAAGGTTCATGGCCGCATCACCTGACACATCACACCCAGAAGGATCGACCCGAGTGGGAGTCGTTTGTCAAGAGAGAGGCAGATACTTGTAAGAGCGTTCCCTCTGTTCAACGAGTGTCAGCGTTGCCCTCGGCTGACGACTACATCTCAGGCTACCATCCGGCCGGTACTTGCAAAATGGGCAACGACGATGACCAAATGGCTGTGGTTGATGCGCAGCTACGGGTACGAGGAGTTGATAATCTAAGGGTCGTAGATGCCAGCATCATGCCGACGCTGATGGGTGGGCACCCGCAGGTGGCTGTTTATGCTATCGCGGAGAAAGCTGCCGACATGATCAAAAGGTTTGCTCAAGCTCCCGCATAAGATCTTTTCTTGCGATGATCGGCATGTTATAAGAATGCAGTTGATGCTAGCTCAGGCTTGTTCATACCCGGCCACTGACCTCTGGCTGAGCAAGGCCGAATCCGGGATCGTTTTGTTTGGACCACGGATAGGTGTTGATGTAAAGAAGAGGGGTATTTCGATTAAATTCATCTTGACTTACCGTTAAAATATCAATGTTGGGGCAACTGAAACCATCATCGAAGGGTAGAAAGCTAGAAAGGGATCCACATGAGTGGGAAATGACTCTGAGGCCGTGGAGGAGAACCCCAACCCGTGGAGCTGCGTAATGACACAAAGGTATCGCAGCACATCAAAAAAGCATAGTGGACATGTTCGAAGCATCAAGCTCTGCCGTTCATGTCTATCCTGCTATCTTCCTTGTCCACGTAGTCCACCAGATCTTCAATCGTACACACCTTCAGCCCCCACCTCTTTCCAAACTTCAAACACCCGTCTCTTCTCATCATACCCCCTTCCCTTCTCTCTGCCAGCCCTTCCACCTCTGCCCCATCTTCTACCAGTTCGCATATGACACCAGCAGGTCTCTTGCCCGCAAGCCGGCAGAACTCGACCGCGGCTTCTGTGTGTCCCTTGCGCTCTCGTACACCGCCGTCGCGAGCGCGGAGCGGAAAGACGTGGCCTGGCCGCCGAAAGCTTGTCGGACCCGAGTTCGGTGAAGCGAGCTTTCGACACGTGAGGGCGCGGTCATGTGCGGATATGCCGGTGGTTATGGAGGAGTCGGAAGCGTCGACGGAGAGCGTGTAGGCCGTGCGGTTGGGGTCGGCGTTTTCGAGAACCATTTGGGGAAGGTCGAGTGTCTTTGCGAGATGTGAAGGTATGGGGGCGCAGATGAGGCCGCTGGAGAGAGGGTTTAGGATCGGTAGAAGCTACTTAGGGAAAAGACAGGAGAGGAGAAGAGAAGCGATTACCTTGTATGCTTAATCATGAATGCCATCTTCTCCGTTGTAACGTCCTCTGCGGCAATTATGAGGTCCCCCTCATTTTCGCGATCGGTTGAGTCGAGGACTACAATAAAATCACCGTTTCTGAATGCGCCGATGCTATCTTGGATGCTATCAAAGTGCAGCTTGGACTCTCCATTGGGTAGCATCTGCACGCGGTGCTACTGCAACGGAAATGAAAAATCACGCGGTTGGAGGATGTGATTTGACTGCGAGCACCCCTTCCGATCTGACAGGTTGGTTGACAAGAATTTTGGGCTTGATCGTCGCAAGATTTTTCAACGTCTGGGATTCATAGATAATGCAGTCTGGGAGAGGCGAGAAGGTAGCTTCGAGACTGCGCACTCGGGTATAAGTATGGCAAAGAAGGATTTCTAATGATGAGTCCGCCATGTCGTAAGCATTGAAGGTTGGAGAGAGTTCCGGAGTTCGGACCAAGCCGAGAGAATACTACGCCGCCCGAGCATCCGTGCTGCAGATCTCGTGCATCTGTTCAACTCACCGAGTCTCCACCACACGTCGCGTCCTCCGTCAACTTCAATGGATCACCGTCACTATCAATTGGCTCTGACATTAAATTCTCAGACCATAGTCATACGAGGCTCTTCCATATCCGAAGTGTGACCCCCGGAACATTACGAATATGTCTCCTATAAGAAGAGAACGCCGAATCAAGCATTCCTGCAGGCTGCAGATCTACGGAGTCTGTTGCTGGCAGGGTATATCGGCGGTCGACCAGGTGACCGACCGATACTTCGTGTTCGAGGAAACCCCTGTTCCTCCGTGAACTACTTCAGGACCAAATGAAATGCTAGCATGTCCACTCTGCCTAGATCCAGAACCCCCAAGACCCGCCTATCGCGACTTGACACATGAGAAAGACCCCCTGAGGCGTGTGCAGCGTACTGCTACACATTTACAGGAGCCCGACATCTCCAGGAACCCTTTCAGTAGACACCTGGCTCGGTGCCCTACATGCTATATGACTTATACCGTACATCATTATCCGTGCAACTGCCCTCCCCGACCGCTAACCACTCGATGCGATAAAGACCGACCTCCGTGATGAGCTCAACGACCACCTGCCTCCTCTCTCCAACCTCGCAAAGCGTACGAAGCTCCTTGTTGCACAAGTACCTGCTGGACAATACGCTACATACATTGCATTGGCAAAGGCTCTATCACAAGAGATGAGATGTGATGCCAAGGCTGGCTTTCGGTGGTGATGTTGAAAAGAGCATGTCGTGCCTACTTGTGCCAGATCACAGACTTGTGGCCGCGAACGGTGGCCTGGGAAGGGAAGTCGACTATGGACACCATAGGGCTACTGTTGGAGGAAGTATAGAATTGCTAAGAGACGAGGGTATGAGGTTTGACCTCAATGGAGATTTGCTAAGAGGCATGTCCTTAGAGTTCCAGTAGCGGAGATCAGGCTTGGAGTGAATGAAAATCTGTATCACCGATTCGACCGCCACCAGCTCCTCAGCGTGAGGCGTAGATGGCGTAAGGCCTCTAATCCTGATACCAAAGACATGCCTTCGACTCTTCGGGCGCTGGATGAAGCGACACGATTAAGATTATCGATGCTTGGTTGGAAATATGGACTATTGGACAAGACTTCACAGCGGGGGCAGCCGAAGCTAAAAGCTGTTCGCATCTGCTTCAAAGGTCATCTATCTTGACGTGGGCATATTAGGTAGAGTTGTCCGGAAGGTCACATTGGCAAGATGGGAAGAAATGGGTGAGAACAGTCAAGGAAAAAGTATTATGTTCGTTGGGTTGGGTAATCTATATACATCAAAGCGCCGAACCAACACCACCCAGAAGGCAATACAGATCGACATCCACCCTCCTGAACCCGGTTTCCTTGCCGAGTTCATCCGTTCAATCCTTTTGAAACCGCCTAGATCATCCTTCCGTAAACGAATCGACACGAGCACCAACTCGCAAGACCTCCGATTGGAACCGTCGTTAGTTCTCATTGACCTGGCAAGAGACCGCGAGGGAACGGACTTGCCAGGAACAATTCCATCGAAACCGATGCATTAGCGCAAAGCTGGTTGGAGTACAGTGTGACAGGCACCGCGACATCCGGGACTGGACTTGGTTTCGTCCTGCGAAGCTGAGCTACTTATCCCCAGCACCGCGGAAAGGTGCCAGTCCGTTGCTGGAGGGGCGCTCCCTTGGTCAGCGCCTCCCGCCAGAGCCCTGGGTTTCTAGACGCTCGGGATGGCAGGATATTTGGTATTGTGAGAAATGCGGTGGTAGAATTGAGGTGTGGCTCCTTTTGGAGTCTTGAAACATGAGCTTTTTGTGGTAGTGGTCATATTTCAGGTGGTGGTGGCTTTTTTTGTTTTTTTTGTGGTGGCGGTAGTGGCAAGAATCCGTTTCGGTCGGCCTGTGATTTAGGTCCGCCTGGATTCATGCCGTTTTTTTTTGGAAGACATCCGTGGGGTCATCTTGCGACTGAGGTATGTTTCGGAGTCTCATGGTATCGTTCGTGGGAGTGACGCCGTCGGCATGGCCCTATTGACAGTCGAAATGCCCGCAGAGGTGCCTTCATAGCGTCTATGGCTCCCAGTTGTTTGGTGGTGCAGGTGAGAAGATCTTGCCATTGATCTTGCGGACGGTGTTTTTGTGCCCTTCCGCTGAGTGGATTTTTTGGTGAGAAGATCTTGCCATGGATCTTGTGGACGGTGCACTTCCGCTTGGTGGATGTTTGGTGGAAAGATCTTGCCATCGATCTTGTGGACGGCGCACTTCCGCTTGGTGGATGTTTGGTGGAAAGATCTTGCCATCGATCTTCGCGGACGGTGTTTTTTGAGCCCCTCCGTTTGGTGTATGCTTGGTGGAAGATCTTGCCATCGATCTCCGCGGACGGTGTTTTTCGAGCCATTCCGTTTGCTGGATGTTCGAGAGATCTTAAAGATCGTACGGATGGCATTTGTCAATGCCTTCCGTTCAACACATGGTTGCGGTATCGCTCCGGACTACCTTCATGCTCGTTCTCGTTTGGCGCACCTAAGTCAATGCAGCGAAATGTTCCTTGGCTCGCTTATACATCTTGTTGGCTGCCTCGAAACTACTTCTCTTCTGCTTCTTCCTTCCCTTGCCCACTTCAGCTTCCGAGGACGAACTACTGTCAATCCTCCACACGATCGCGTCCGATAGAGGGTCCACATCCACTACAAACATCTCACCCAGAGGCCCAACAAGACCTGGTCTCTCCATGGCCTTTTTCTTATTTTTCACGACTAGATCTTCGTCAGCGTTCCACAATGCCATCACTATCAAGAGAGATGAATACTTACTGCCACGTCCGGTGAACCCCGAATCCCAGTCTATCGGGCGAAAAGATTTCTTGATTGGCAAGCACCATTGGCGCCAATGAGCCTTTTCCTTCTCTGACTCAGGGCCCCAATAGTCATATGGTCTCTCCTCGATTAGGCCCTTGCTCACCTTCTCATAGTAGTCCCGGATCTCGAAAGAGAGAATGGGGTAGCAACCCATGTTGAAGTCCATGTTGGATGATGGGGGGGGGAAGATGTTATGGTGGTAGCGGTGGTAGGAAGGGTATATGTCTTTCACAAAACCCAAGATTATGGCAGTGGCCGTGGTAATCTACCTTCACAGTGCGAGGTTTCACAGAGAATGTGGCAGTGGTGGTGGCAATGTTATCTGTCACTCACTATGCAAGATGTTTGTGGTAATGTGGCAGTAGCAATGTGAATGTGTATGTGGCAGTTAGACAGATACTGTGTTCCTGACTGTGGTTGAAGGAGAGAAGGAGGAAACGGGGAAATGGGTAAATTTATGTGTGAGCCAAGACATATGAAACTTCGTGAGTCAGATAACGCTCTCAATCCCCGCAACAATTTATCTACGAGCGTATAGAAAGATAAAGCTCATTCTTGGCCCTTCCTAGCCACTCTTCTTTCTGCCATATACAGCGCTCCCACAGCCTTAACACTGGAAGCGCAACCTGGTTCCTCTATATTTATTCATACAGCAGTCATC